TGAACAAACAGCAGGACACAGATTTGCTGCTATTACTCACACGGACACATTGCGCTGGCCTTCCGCTCTGCAGGCTGTGCAAAGCACTGGCACGTAGTGAGCAACATCTGGGCTACCATACAACCCCAAATCAAGACAGCTTGTATGTTTAATTATAGCCCTTACTGTCCTGATGTGGGTCTTTAAGGTATGTCAACTTGTTTTTTGGTTCCTCTAAAGGGACAAACTTATTTAAAGAGTAAAACATAGTGATTTGAGGATAACACTAGGGAACTGGAACCTCTCATTCAGTCCCGGCTCCAGGAGATTCCTTTCATGACTCTGGGTACGTCACTTCACACCTCATCCTTGATTTTCTTCTTCTAGAAAAGACAACTAGCACTTGCTAGAAGAACATGTTTGCAGATGCAAAGTGCTTACTACACTGTACACAGCACTACAAACTACTCTCAGACTGAATTCCTGAACCAATCACTTTTATTGCGGTAGCTATGATTTCTAGGTCAACCAGAATACAGAGGTATTGACTGACAGGATAGGAATTCCAGCAAGAGGTCCAGCTGCTTTTCATTACCTTTTGTTCCCAAATTAAAGGACAGAATTTGCAATTAACAAGTTGCCCATCACTATGTTTGTTTAAAATACAGGAATCTCCAAATTAGCGGAGTACGAGGAAGGACATGCGTCCTAGATGACATTCCAAGGTCTTCAGAAAGGCTAAACAAACTGTTTGCTATATACAGGTCTTCAAACCTGGAAGATGTGAATCCAAAGTTTGCCCTTAGCCAAGATCCTCCCTTAGCAGCAGCAAGTTATATTTGCACCACTTGATCAAGTATAACTTGGAGGAAAGGGTTTTGTTTCATCACTTCTACGTAAAGAAAAGACTTTGCATATATATGTGCATGCATGTCTGTGTGTAATATGTATGTACCTACACACATACGAGTAATTTACAGAGCAAAAACTAAGAGATTAGATATGCAACCCAAGAATTCCCCCCCCTCACCTATTTGTATATTTGCATAGTTAAATCATATCAAGGCATCAATACTGCCATCACGCTTTTCATCTTCTGTGGTGCAGCCAACTCTTCTTGTCACTCCCTACGTGCTTCTCTGTCTTGGACCAAACAGCACCAGTGTTTTAAAAACAAAACAAAACAACAGAAACCCTGCATTGTTGGTGAAATGCCTATCCCACGTGATGGAATACAGATACAAATAGGTGGTAGCTTTTAAACTCCATCTCAACAAGCCATAATCGTGGCAAGCCGAGAAACACGAGCGATACAATCACAACCTAACGTTCATGGGTTCAACACTTAAATTACAACTAACACAAATCTCTATTATCTTTGCATTTGAGAAATTCACCAGGCACAGAAACAGGCACATATCTTCAACTTTCCTTTTCCAAGCAGGAAAACCCACGGGAAAAGGAAATAAACTGTATTTCGTATTTATAAGAAAGCTAGCATGTTACCCACATTTTTTTTTCCCCCCATCAAAATTATGCCACCCATCCTCCCCTTTTCCTATTGCACATTCTCTTTGTGAAGAACAACATTTACAGTACAAGGCTGAAATCAACGTTGCATATTGTAAGTCAGCAGTTGAAGGTGTACCATGTAGACAGTAACTGAAACAAGACCCCTTTAATTAGATCAGAGAAGTAATGCAGGCATGGTCATGCATCATAATCGCACGTTGGTCTTTAAACACTCGTATAGTTTCATCCTGTTTAGAATTCAAGACTTTCTAGGTAACAGGTGCACTCACCCTGTGCTGAAGAGCGTACAAAAAGGGCAACATCCAGATTGTCACACACTGGAATCTCCCTAGAGAAAGCTGGAAACAGAAGAGGCTTGTAGGTAACTCTGAGCGCCATCGTTAAGAAAGAATACCAGCGAGAGACTTCAGCTGTGTGCTGCTAAGAATTACTAAGCAGAGGAAAAAAAAGGTTCCCTTGAAGAAACTCTGTTCAAAGTAATGCAAATAGTCTGGGACCCCCTGCTGTAACAGCACACCACAGGAGTTGGCCGGGATTCCAGAGTATACGTGGGGGCAGACTGTTGCCCCCTGAATCACTTTAAACAGACACTCCCTAGAAAACTTTGGATATCTGGGTCAGGAACATACAGGAAAAAGGATAAAGGGCATTTCAGTGATAAGAGAAAAAGTTTAAATAATTTAAAGTGTTGAGTAAAGCACCAGGTATCTTTTCCTTTCAATTTAGAGAATATACAGTGGCCTTGTTTTCACAAAATGCTACATACTCCTTGCTGGAAAGCAGAGGAAACCGATTTCTATGTACACAGTAAGAACTCTACAGAGATGGCCCGCGAGTTCTGCGGAGAAAGGGGTGTTACAGTCAAGGCTTCAGGTATTCCACAGCAGGCGGTGTTTACATTTGTGTAGCAAGATCCTGGATTTCACAGTACGCAGGGTTGGCAAACTGGAAATTCTCTGGCAGCTTCATGTAGTTTTAAAAAATAAGTGCAGTAGGCCTCCATTTTATTAACTGTGATAAAAAGCATATATGCAAAAATATTTTTATATTGATAGCACATTACTGCATTATAAAAGCTGCCCAAGTGAAGCTGAAGATTCTGGCAGCTGGTGCTTTTGGCACTTGGGAGATGTGAAAAGCAGCATAGAGATCTGTGAAATACAACAGTGACTGATGTTTCTGCTACAGTGATCGGCATTAATATAGTTAGCAGTGTTCATATTTAAACTTCTCTATGAAGTTTCTGAGTCAATATCCCACTAAGAGGAGATATTCAGATCTCTTAAAGCTACTAGTTTAGGCTGTGTGCAGACTCAGGAAGACTTCCCTATTAGTTTACACTTTTCGCATGTTTCAAAGTCCTCTTTCAATCACAAAGGCTGGAAACACTTTTTTCCTCCTCTTTTAAAGAGCCTGGATTTAGAAGCGCAATTCTGTCACAGGAGTTGGAAACTGTAGTCACAAATCTGCAGAATATGCTGGGCCCTGCTTATGCTAGAAATCTCCTCCAAGTCCCAGATCGAAACAGGATATAAACTGTTTTGAGATGGCCAAACGGTTTCTTTTAAGTTTACAAGACATGCATTAGCAATGGGAGGAGAGTCCTTTGGACATTTCCACTTGGGAATCCTGTTTTCAGTAAAATTCTGTAATGCACAAACACAAAAGCTCAGCTGCCTACATTCACAATTATTGAAATGACACAAGTTGAGCGAACCTTCGCCCTAAAGCGTAAGTGATGGGTTTGCTTACGCAGCCTGCATAAAACTGCAAGTGCTGTATAATTATATCTAGAGATATAGATGCGGGTATATCTATAGATACTTCTCTTGTGCAGAACGTCCTCCTTCCGTGCTAGAAATCAGATGCTAGCACATGCCTCCATATTTGAGCTTGCACCTGTTGACAGCTACGTACCATAAAGGGAGTACAGTACCTGGACAATGGAAGGCAAGAAAAGGAAGACAAGTTGCTGCTGACAGTTGCGACGGTCAGCAGCAGGCAGTATTCTAGCAGGTGCCTGGAAAACCCATGAAGACCACTTAGCATGCACTGTATATTCATAAATACTTCTTGCAGGCACTGTGTGTGAAGGCACAGCCAAAAAAGACAACGGCAAAGACAAGCTGAAATACAAAGGCATGAATTCAACTGCACCTTAGACAGAAATTGTGACTATGCCTCAAAAAGCAGAAAACCAATACAAACTGACATTAAAGGCTGAGATGCAAGGTTTTCTTTCAAGCCCACGAAGGCTAAAAACACAGTGGTGCAAGTCTGCTCTGCTTAAGCAGCTCTTGGATTTTAAAGAGCACTGCAGCCAGGCTATGTCGCTAGACTTGCTTGTCACAGGCTATTAAAGAGAAGCAGATGAACACAGCAGGTTGCAATCAGCATGTTTCAGGGCTAGCAAATGCTTTCCACTACAGTTCAGGCTGTCACCAGAAAGAAGCCCGTGCATTCCCTGTTAGGATGCTTGTCTGTCATGAAAAGCTGTCATGAGTGTACACATTCACAGCCCCACAGAGTTCTCAGATGGGTCCGTTTCAAGTGATGCCACCTTACAGCCACAGGCATTAGAGGAAAAATGTCGCCCGCCTTCACAGTGGCCATGGAGACTGTACAGTCCAAGCTCCATAGGAGCACTGAGCATAACGTTTTGGCACCTGAATGAGATGGATTCCACCATGGCCAAGTCACAGAAGCCCCAGAAGCTAAAGAAATGGGCTTTGGCTTCTATTTTGTACATCACAAGGTACAAGGGCTCTGAAGACAAGGCTAAACATTATGCCTGAAGTCCAATTAAACTACCATTTCAGATATCAGAATTAATCTGAATAAAAAGCTATGGTTTATAAGCAGCACAGCACATCTAAGGCACATGTATGCATGCAAGCCACCATCACTGTATTAAGACATTGCTGATTTGTCCTTAAGAAGCAATGGCTGCTACTACAGAACAAACACAGAGGCTTTTTTCAGCACTAATCCTCCTCCCCAATACTGAAAATACTATATACTGCTGACAGCATAATGTGCAACATATATAGCTTGATTGGAAAGCATGGGGCAGAACTTTAAAAAATGTACAGGATTCCGTTTAGAACTCCAAAGTTCAACAAATGCCCTATTTTAGGGTGAAAACAATTATAAATCTGATAATGATGCACAGCATCCATGAGTGATTTTTCCTTAATTTTGAAATAGTGTCATTAACTACGACATATATTGTAGGTTTACATTTCTAAAGAGAAATAACAGAATTGAATAGTTTTTTTTCCTATCACAAGTGATAACCAGTGTTTGATATCTTCTATTTTTCTTCCAAGAAATATCAGTCTATCAACAGTTTTAAAATAAAATGTTTTCTGTAACAATAGAACTTTAAATAAAAATATGATTTTGATTCAAATACTTTTGAGAAGACATGGATACTTTTCCAAGATCTTCTGACAAAGTAATTATTAAAACAGAGACCAGATGAGGCCTTAAAAAGACAATATACTATATTTCAGACAAGATTGCACCTCAGTTTTTCAAATAATATCATAATTGCAACATTACTTCATCATTTCTTCTTTTAACATGCTGACAATTTCCAGCTAGCCCACGTGTGAAGTTTTTTTTTTGTTTTTGTATTCTAGCTTAAAGAAATAAAAGTCAGTAATTTATTCAGCACATACTGTATATGTCTTTTCACCTCCAATTGACTAGATCATTAATAAGTTAAAAAAAAAAATCCTCTCTGACCATAATCATTATCCTCATGAGGGATAAGTGATTCTTCAGAGCTTAAGTGTTGCTAGTTCTATTAAAAAATATACCATGGTATGATTTCTTAATGTGTTGCTACTTTCGCAATTGGACCCTATGCAGTTATGCCTTCAAACTCTTCCGTCTGTTCCACAAGGTGGTTCTGTGAGCTTTAGGACCTCTGATTGAAGACAAACTGATATAAAACCCCCAAACGGAGTTGTCTTCTGTTTAATCCGCCTCCCCCGTTGTATGTCAGGGGTCTGGTAGATCCGATGTATCCACTATGACTTTAATAAAAATAGTATCATCTTTAATATACGTTCCATTCTCTAGAACAGTTTGAGCCACAAAGACTGGGCAGCCAGATGCAATGTTCATTTCTCCAGTTGGCTTCTTGAAACTGCTGCTGTTTGGATCTGGCTTGAAAGCATCTCCTAAGTGGCGTCGAGACGGTCCCTGATCCATTAGCATGAGAGTCACTTTCTGTTTAAACGGCCAAGGAAGCAAAGCATCGTATTCTCCACGCATTATGACAAAGAACAGCGACAAGTGCGTCCCCTTTCCCATGCCATCTCCATTAAGGTAAACTCTGGCACACATCTTGTAGCCAAAGTATCCAGTATAAAAGGGTTGGCTGTACAAGGACAGAGTCTTCCCCATGACTGCCTCTTGCTTCCGACGTTTATAATCTCGAATTTTCCAAATTAATACTCCGTTGTAACTGGCAGTTTCTAAAACTTGGAATCGGAGGTCCATGTCAGCCAGCCGAATATCATGAACGCTCAGCATCTGATCATGTCTGCTCAGCTGTGTCTCTAGCAGGCCTGTTAGAAATCAGAAAGGACGAGGGTGAGAGAAGCGTGGTTTTTTTCCTAAAGACTGTAAAAATCAGTTGCCAATGCTGCAGTTGTATATGAAAACATTTTCTTCCCCAAGAACCAAAATGCATTCGGTCACTGATGAAGCCATTTCCATAGACAATTGTTTGACAGCTAGTATCTAGGTTAACTGGGACTTCTACAAACATGGGTGTTAATCACACATGCAATAAAAGTCAAACATTCAAATCATCCAACATAAATTTTGCCTGGTCACTAAGCAATACAAATACAGAGGCTCCCATTTTTTGAGAGGAGACTTGGCAGCGTTATGTGTAGATTGCTATCAGCAGGGAAGACCTTGGAAGTGGTCACACATCCTACATAATCCCTCTGAAATTCAGAAGCACTGCTGATCACTCAAAATATTCTTCTCAGACACTACTTGTCTCAGAAGCGTGATGCTGTTACCTTGTCTGAAGTTCATCATAAAGGAACAGAAAATTCAAGCTTAGCTCTGCATTATCTGGTCACTTAGTTCAGAGGGAGGGCTGGTTTTAATGTCCCTTTTTCCCTCACATGAAAAGGTTACTCTTTCTCCTTGCACACTGGCAACATATAACACTGAGAAGCAGATGAATTTTCTAAGTCAGGTTTGGTTTATACGGATCTATTTAACCATTAAGTTCTTTGCCCTAACCATTTAAACACTTAGATATGATCTACACTATCTTGCTAAACTCCAGTTTTCACTTTATTCAGCAAGCACCACAATAACCATATTCTTAAGTACATCTCAGTTTTCTTTAGATCAAATATACCTCGAACAGACATCAGGACAGGTGGTTTCAGGTAGATAACCGTGTTGATCCATTCATGGGGGAGAAGAGTAATAAAAGACATGTCAACATACCAAGACTATATTTAAAGAAGCTGCTGAAAGCTATTAGCTGTCAAAGATCAGTTGAGAAACTATTTATAATGAACTAACATTGTAACCAAGACAAGAGTCAAGAAAACAAAAGACAAGAATCAAGCCTAAGAAACAGCGTGGAAGCAATGCCACATCATAAAAGGGATTACACAGTTTCCTATTAAAAAAAATCAGAAGAATCATCATTATTGATGCTTCCACATAAAATTCACAATGGCAGTGCTATTCAAAGTGACGTAATTTTTCTCTTGACAGCACTGCTGAGTACTTCGGTCCATTGCGCTTACACTTACTTGTATTTCGAGCTCCTTGCCCTGCAGTTTTATCAACACTTTCCAGCTCAGTCACTCTGTTCTGGAGGGATTCCACACTGCTCTTCATGCTGTCAGCCTCCTCCCAGTTCTGTCGGAAGGGACGGATTTCTTTGTCCAGTTCTTTCAGTTTCTCTGCTTGACTGTCTATCACTCGCTTTATAAAACAGTAAGTTATGAGTTAAAATAACAAAAAGACATTAATTTGTGCAAATTAAACAAGGACTACATATCAATAATAAGATGTATTTCCAACACAAACAAGTTTCATTTAGGTCAAATATTTTAATAGCACAAACCTTGAAAATTTAGAGGAATAACCCAAATATTTATAAAACACTTATAAAAATCTTTAGTGCTGCATAGGTATTATTATTAGAGCACTACCGGAATTATCAACACAATTATTTAAAAAAAAAAAAAAGGAATTGTTAGTGTGCTCTTGTCTCAAATTGTTTTTAAAAACCTTTCAATGCAAGAACAACGTTCTCAACATCTCTATATTGATATTATGTGCTGGTATTTGTTGGGTTTCGTGTCAGAGTACTTAAGCACCAAAGTATGGGCACCACAACAACTTCCGATGGTGTGAATCAAGTGGTTGCTCAGGTGCATGCATTTATCATTGGGTAACAGCAAAATAACTTACCCCTCCAGAAAAACCACCAGTACTCTTGCACACATAGAGCAGGAGTATGTATATGTGCAGATACACGGCATTAGCAAGCTCCAAGCTCACATAAACCAGTTACCAAAGCCTAAGTTGTTATGTGCCCATAACCATAGCAGAAGCCCTCCTGAGTGTAAGCAAAACTACCACTTCTGACCCCTTAAGCACTTTTAAAATTCCCATCCTTACTTCCTAAATTGAGTAAGCCATGTGTCCTGAAGGTGCTTGCTGGTTGAATCTTTTTAAGAAAACAAAGGAAAACAACCCAGTTGGTTTTGAAAAGGCATAAGATATAATACTCAAGAAAAAAAAAATACATAGAAAGGTTGGTATTCTCCAAAAGAGGGACATTGCAAGCACCTCAGTGTATCACAAACATAAAGGAGAACATATTTCCCAGTCTACCTCAAATCTGATACAAGAAATACAAAGCACTTTATGTTATCACAGCTAATTTGGACTAGCAGGAATTTTAGCCAGAACCCCATATTCAGTTGTGAATTTCAAATAACACAAATATTTGAGACAAAAAACTACTTTTGCTACCACCTACAGTTAAATTCCAAATCTAACTGTATAGTGCCAACATGTGTAAAAATGATTTTTCACTTCTTGAAGAAAAAAAGTAGCAGTTGAGTACAAACCAAGAAAATAAAATTATTTTGCATTTGCCTTCTGGTTAGCCATGTGGATTCAATGTTCCCCACTGATGGGGAAAACCCTTCTGCCTCATGCAACCTTCATTTCCCCTTTTAGGCATTTGCTTTTAATCATGTGGTTTCAGTTATACTGAAAGTCTGTAACAATTAATTGAAGGCTGTCAATTTGATAAGCCAGCTAGCAAATCATGTTTAAGAGTGGTTTATTTTGTTGTGTCTCAAAACCACTGAGTAATCTAACATATTTCAAGATTAACTATTTATTTCTGTGTTGGTGTTTTAAAATAAGCTTATGCATCTCCCTTGCAAAATTACAACTTTACAAAGGAAAGCTGTGTAACTGAATCACAAATGCAGAGGCATGGTCCCATTAAATAGATGAAGCAACTGGCCTGGATGTACTAATCATCAGCTACCACAGCAGTCACACCCTCTCACTTGGACTGATGGTAATCAGAAAATAAAACAGGGAAGGGCTTTAGCTATATAGAGAAAAGGAAACACACCATGGAATGGCCTGAATGAACATTGTAATAGCAGAGCCACAAAATTTGGCCATAAGTTCACAGTTAACACGCAAAAGTAAACTCAAGGTGTGCCCAAGTCCGATCTTTTTCGCCTACTCACACAAAACAGGAACTCTCCAAGGCAAGAACAGTAACATGGTCGTGGATTTGTACCATGCCTCACACAGAGATGCTCTAATTTCCAACTGGGACCTCTTGGCACTAACACAGTATCAAACAAAATTAATAAATACATTTTTAAATACATTGGGAAAGTGGTAAAGATGCAGAAGAATTGCAAGTTACTCTTCTTTTAGGAGAAGTTTACTAGAAGTTGATGCTAGGGACCAGCTTCTCTCCATCAACCTGTGTGCAACATTCTACCTTTGTACATGCACAACCGATTCTTCTACTATGCTTCTACTACACGTCAGCAAACATGTAGTATTTTATCTCCTCTACCACTTCATGACAATTCAAGAGATACAGAATTATCAGAGATAGACCTGTATTCCGTTTTTAAAAAGCAGTGGGACCTCTATCTTTTTACCCTACAGGGAGTCAACCTCCCTCATGCTGGGAGATACTGATGTACTAAATCTGAATGTAATGCAGCAGTGGAGATTTCACTCTCTCTAATTATTCCATTAGAAAGCACACAGATGTCTCACACTGTACTCATAAATTTTCAAGTAGATATCAATTTTCTGCATGCACTCTTTATTCCAGCAACTGACCTCTCCAGATCATTAATCCAGAGTTACATGCCTCGCAAACCATTGAGGGCTCTTCTTGATGTTGATTTTCATCTAGGTTTTGTTTGGTATTTCTAATAAACAATTTCCAGAATTCTAGCACTATTATTACTAAAAAAATTTAGAAAATGTCATGAGGAACTGAAGAAAGTTATATTTGCAGTTCTCTCAGATGCTCCTAATGGACCTTTCCATTGCAACTGACAGAGCAAAACTGAAAAGCCGAAGAACAGACTAGAAAAGGAACCAAACGTACTACTTGTCGGGGAAAACAAATCATATATCCTCCTCCTTTGAAGGAATGTATTACCAATCAAATAATTTTATACTCATAAGGTCACTGTTTCTTTTGCCTTGAAGTACTTCAGGTCCACACTCAGCTTAAGACTTAACTTACTAATATGCTTCCATATACTTGTAAGAAAGACTGGATACTGGATGTGAAAGCTTCTTTCCACAAGACAGCAGTTGAAAAAGTATCACATACTCTCTTGGTAAAAAACACTTTCCCTAGAGACCTTTTCTATATTCTAGTATATAGAAAAATCAATCTGAACCAAAACATCTCAAGGCTGAGGTTCCAGCCAGTGCCCAGACACCTTTGATGCATTTATACGAGTTGTGTTCAATGCCTCACCATGCAGGTGATGCCAGTTGTGCTCAGTGAAACAGCTGTTCCCAAGCCAAAGAAGGTTACACAACAACTAATACTGAAACTGTACTAGAAATTACTAGCATGCACAGGACCTTGGGGGACTAAGCAAATAATGCTCGTCCAGAGCCAAACTGGCTAGTTCTACCCTCGCAATAGCTGTGGCTCTTGTATAGCCGTGGCTGCTCAACGCAACCCAGGAAAAGAATGGCTCACAACAGGTACCTAATTCCTTCAACTCCTAGTAGGCAACAGAAGGAGGCTAAATCATACTGTCCAGGGAAAAACAAATTGAGCTCTGTTTCCAGGATGCCCTTAACCTGACTGAGCTAGGAAGTATGTGGAGGGATAAAGTTGAAATAGCTGTATATCAGTTTGCTCTATAATAACAACTAAAATAGCTTGCAAAAAGTAGGAAAAATGAGGAGGGAGGGAAAAAACCCAAGCAAAACACATCCTCTCCAGTACTTAACACCACCAAAAAGCCACCTGTTGCAATCTGCCAACCATATTTGGTTTGTTATGGTGGGGGGTTTTTTTCTAAACATAAACTATTTGAAAATTGATTTTGCTAACACTCTTAGAGCTTGAGGAAATCAAAGATATTGCAATCTGTCATCAAGACAATCATAAAAAACTCTGCTCTATGTTTTTTTTCCATTTCTTCTCTCATCACTGGTTATTGAGACAGCATGTGTAAAAACCCCAGGCTTACAAATTAACTTACCTCCTGGTAGATTCAATCAGCAATATCAATACATAAAAGGATTAGCTTCCCAGTGTCAGAATGCAATATTGTGTAAGCATGCAGCCACATCCCAGACTATCATCAGACCAAATAACAATGACTAAGGCAGGCTAAAGTAGTTACTACACAGACAGAACATGGAAAGAAATAAGTGCTATAAGGAGAAATGTTGCTGTTGCCAAACTTAAAGGTTTCCTTATAAACCAACATTCAGAGGGTCTCAAGGTTCCGAGCTCTTGAATGTGCTACCCTTTGAATTTTAGCCATACTCTAGTTTGGACACTTATATCTTTCTTGAGTATCAACATTTGCAGTTTAATGTGTGAAGTGAATAGTAAGTGAAAAAGATACTTTTATTTACATTCCTTTAAGCTGGATGCTAAAGCAGGTATCTGATATTCTAGCAGCAGACATACTAAAATAACATGTAAGTGATACCTTCACAATAGCTTGCTAACTATCTCCTGAGGTTTCCTTAATTGGAGTTAGTATCACGCAAGCTAACGCAAATTCCCAGCATCCACATTCCAAGTCAGCTCTGAATGCAAAGCAAAGAATTTCAGCTCGAGCTAAGCACCACGCTAGCGCATCCAGAGAATTTCTAGTTTGACACTGGCTTGTGGCCAGATGATTCAGACCACAGAGTAAGAAACTCAGACCTACTGGCAAAGCAATAATTAGATACGTCTTCCTCAGAAGGACAACAGAAACATGGGTTTTAAAAAGTGTATTCAAATGCATTGTACTACATTTGGATTAATTCTGCACCAGACTGATCTCACTCATGATTAATATTTTTTAAAATACCAGCAAGTAGAAAATAAATATACATCATACATATGACAGTTTTAAGGTGCTAATCTTGTCCTCCAGTTTGACAGTAGTTCTTCAAGCAGTTATTTTTTTGCAGAGAAGAAAAAATTATTATTATTATTTTTCAGATAAGATTTATAATTTTGTTTTTAGTCTTTTCCCTTTTAAAACATGGGGTTTTGTTTTAACATAGGCTTGGCACCTGCAGTGTTTTAGAGAAGTATCTTAGTCCAACAAACACAACAAACCAGCTACTGACCAGAAGGGGGGGGGGGGGGAATCATCAGAATAGCTTGATAAGAAGGTAAACTCTTCCCCCCCTTTTTTAATTAGAACACCTCACTTCACAAGTGTAAAGGCACAGAACAGAAGCTACTACCATTTCTGCTTTAATGGGGAGATTCTAAATTTCTTACCTGTAAATGAAGAATTTTAGATTCATTATTCCGCAGCATTTCCTTCTGTCTTTCAATTTCTATTTCAAAGCTACAAATCTGATTATGTAAAGTTTGTATACTCTTGTTCTTTTCCAAACTTTCATTCTGGAGCAAGGCCACCTGGAAAAAATTCTACAATTACTCCTGCCAAAGTGTATTAAAAATACCTATAACTTTGTTAGTTTTAAACTATCTTACACACACAAAAGGGATGAGATCCTAGTCAAACCTCTCTCCGTCTCTTGCAAATAAATAAATAAACCCCAACCTTCTGATAGCTACTTTTGCACTTCCACTGCACGGTATTGGTATAACTTTGGCTAATGAAAGTGCAGATTGGATACATAAACAGCAAAAAGACTTGTGTCTAAGCATAATCTTTTCTTTATTCAGTTTGTTATTTAACAGCTGGGTTTCCTGGTTTCCACTAACTGACTTGGGAGTTGCTTGGAGTTCGGAAGAAAGAACCTATTTAGCTCTAGATCAGCGTTGAGAACTCGAGCCCTGCACAGAAGGGATACTAGAGAAAAGCTAGTCAGGAAAGGGAAACATTACTCTTCCCCACCTACTCCAATCTATCCTGATCTATAGCAAATTTAAGGAAAAAACATCATCTGCATGCGATTGGCTCGGCTTCACAGAACGTGATGGTGATGGAAACTCCTGAAATGAGTGAATACAGAAGGGATCCATGCATTTGAAGAAAAAAAAACAATGGTGCCTACTAGTAGAAAAGACTAAAGAGCTACAGACTGCAGATTATATTCTCTCTCTGTATTGACATTTTATGAATTCATTCATTAGTGACTCATTCTGATTTTAAAACATGAGCCTTGTTAGAAGAATATCATATATTGTATCTCCTTGGGGATGAAAGTAATACAGTAAATGTTCTCCATCACACTATTTTGTGCTCTGTTCATCAATGTGGTTTGGGGAAGGGGCTTGCTTTGTGGTGGTGGGTTGCTTTTTAAAAAAGAATCTCATTTTTCCCCAGGCAAGATTATCAGCTGCAAAAATGTAGAAGAAAAACACTTGACACAAAATGACATTTGGACATGCTTGACTAGTTCCACAGATAGATCTTTATACGGGTAACAAGCAGCACCATTTCTGACCCAAGAAAATCTTGATGAACGTTCCACATTAAGACCAATTACTTGGATGCTTCACGTTCCCAAAAAAATCTCCACCACCACCCCCAATACAGACGCTAGTTTGAGGTCAAGCCATTTTTACCTCTGATGTGGGTATCACTGTAGAATTCTACCACCCTAACTGCCTTCTAATCAGACACAGTCGAATCACTTACGTGTCACTGCATTCCTAGACTCAAGAAGCTAGCCTGTTTAAAAAGGCAAATAATTTCAATCTCTATACTAGCCCCAACTAGACAAAGGACTGCCAAAGTCCACAGGCATTCAGCAGGTTCAGACAGGGGCCCCAAAATATAGCTACACCATAATATACAGGCATATCTGCTTTTCAATACAGCATGGCATGTGTGCATATACACAGACACATTAGTTCTGCCTTTTATAGACGGAAAAGCTGGCAGAAGAGGCTCAACAGAAATGAGACAAAGCTAATTTTGCCAGTGCAGAGAGAGACACAATCTTGAGGCTGAAGGAATGCATGCCTAAGTACTAGAGAAAATTTTCAAGAACAAATTCAAATTTAAACTAGTACCCCTGCCTCCCACATATTTCAGATCTGCTGGGTAGCCACTTCAATTTTTGGCATTCTCCTTTTCCTTAATGAATCAGAGTCCTTTAGTTAATTGTGATCTTTACATTCCCCTTTTCTCATTATTTCCTCCCCAGGCCTCCCAATCATAAGGCAGTTACACTTTGTGTCACTAGCATTACATTTCCATTTTTGTACAAGTTATAAAACATGGGCCTGTCTTGTACTGGTATTTTCCACGCAGTTCTACAGAACACAAGAAAAATAGAATTATGTCCTGCAGCCCTTAATCATACAGAACTGTTTCGCTAAGTCAGTAATTGTAGTTTGGTGGTAGTTTGTGAATAAGAACTCTTTAACACTAAATATAGTTTCCTAATTGCATTTGTCGTAAGTCTTTGGAACTCGAGTTAAAAAAACAGGGTAAAGGAAACACGCCATCTTTTTCCAAACTACATCAATTAGCTTCCTTTACTTCCTTGTCATATTTGAAATATTGCTAGGATAATGCATGCTCTTATTCAGCAGTTTTTCAAATTAAGCTATTGCTTACTAAAAAAGAATGTAAGAAACCCTTACACCACAAAGAACTGGATTAAAACAGACAAGTCCCATATTTAAGTCATATATGAAAAAAGAAAAATGCGTTTGTAACACATTTCTTGAAGAATGTGACAAAGCCACAAAATTACGTTCAAGTCATTATTTCCAACATCACAAAACCCGTGGGAGTTCAGTCTACAAGTCTGTCCCATCACAGAGTGAACAAAACACCAAATTTTAATTCGCCCCACAAAGTTTTGATTCAAGATTTTACATCTGACCTTCTCTTACTACTCTGCCAACAGCACCATTCAAATACCAAACTCGTAACTTAGCGCAAGCTTTGCAGCTCCGAAGACTTTCGGTTTGCATACTCCACAAGCACTGTTAAAGAACATGGCGACTGGGAGAAGGCGACTTCTCCTTTCCCCTCTATGCTTATCACAGCGAGTACCCCAAATAAAAGCTTGACCCTACAGAAACCAACAAGACTTCCACTGACTTCAGCAGGGCCAAGATTTCTGTGATACTCCTCAGCTAAGTTCACTTTGCACTGTTGTTCCTCAGTGCATCGATTAACTTTTTCTCAAAGAAGAGAACAACAATGAAGTTACAAATCATTTTGTTACCCTTGTCTAGAATAAAGTCACTGACATATGATATGCGGTTAGCTATTCTGGTAACTTGGCACGGTCTTGGGATTTCCAGTGATTCAACTCTTTATTATGAATAGGAAGAAGTCTACAAAGCAGGAAGTGAAAAGAAAGAAAGAAAAAAAAAAGGACAAACAATGATAAGCAGTTATGTCCTAAATGAAAGTTAAAACAAAATTTGAACATAAAAGAGTAGTAAAGTGTATATTCTCTTAGCTCTATAAGAGACAAACATAGAACTGCTGGGCATTTTTTAAATGACAAAGCACCTCTCAGGACACTGACAAAAGGCAGAACATGATCTATTCTGGAAGTCACAGGGAACATCATCTTTTCCTATGATGTAAAATAAATTGTATAGTTTTAATCAGACTAATGAAAAAAGAATGAAGGATATGAATTTGTATCTGTTAAAATTGAAAAATGTACAGTTCCTACATTAACAAAGAGATTCAAGTACAAAAGCAAACTGAAGTATTGTTATTGATCATCAGACTAAGACTTAACACTTGTAGTAAAAATTCTATCTAATAAAACTACACTAGACCTCTCCCAGGTTCAATGGTTTCCTTATAGGGCTTCATGTTCAAAAACAAGCAGTCCAGGGACGAAAACCACCATTTGCTGTCCCTGTTAACTTCTGCTTTAAAACAAACTGCTTCCTGCAGCTGCAGGACCTTGCTGGAAACCCATGCATGAGAGATCACTGGAGGCCAAGAAGGGAATATGCTTTCTAGACAGAGTTTGCTAAACTCAAGCTGGCGGTCTGCTGTGAGATGACAGAAGTCACAAGCCACACATACCATAACTGCCACTGAGCTTACACTGGAATTGTTACTCTTATTTATCTCATTCTAGAAAAATCTGAAGGGGCTCCTGACTCTCCTGCCTGCATTTGTAGAATAGTTTAGGAATTCTCGGATTCCCCCCCCCCCCAAAAAAAGCAGAAGCATTAATTTAGTGGCTATGTAAAACTTTTTCAAAGATTTAAGAAAAACAGCAATTTATTCTGATACGTATTTTTAAATCAAAGCCTTAAATCTTACTTGCAAAACAGATGTTTAAGTCATTCAAATGACTCACAAGATTGTAGCTGATACCAATACAATTTCCAGCATCTCCCAAATCCCAAACAATCTAAAACCAGGAGTCCCAAGAAAGCACTGCAACATGAACTTCATTCTGGTCTAGCACTAAAGCAGAAATCATCGTGCCCATGAGTTACAGTATATTTAATTTAATTAACCTTTGCAGGTCATTAAGTTTGGAGAGCAAGAACAAAAATAAATAAAAAAATATTATCAGAAATACCATGTAAAAAAGTGGTTGGTTATCTCTGGAAAAATACCGAAGTAACAAAAACATAGCTCACAGCGCTGCCATAGCTTTCTGAACCCTCCCTTTTGTAAAAAGGCAGCTCAGAGAGGAAATTTACTACTGTGCTGTTTATCTATGTGAAGAAAATGTTTTAATTAAGTTACCAATGAGGAAAATTGTATATGGGGTTGCGAAGCCAAGTTTCTCACAGCATTTTATTGTAACAAAGGTACCACATATGCTAAATGGCTTGATTGCTTCTGGAGCCTACTAGTGCTTTAGCTGTACTGTTGAACAGCTGTTAAACAGAGGGGAAAAAAGCGTTTCTTCCAGTACTTTTATATGATTTAAAGAAATCAATGAAAATTAGAAGTGAGTAGAAGATATACCTTATTTTCTAGAGCATTGCTCCACTCTTTCAATAAGTTAACATGCTGCACTGCTGAGCTGGCTTCATGTGCTTTAATTTGTTGGTTTGTTCCCTGTGACAACAAAGAATTTATACATTTTAGCCAATTCCACTTCTTTTAAACCTACAAAGAAAGAGTATATCAAGACATCGAACCAACACTACATATTTTGGTTCACGGATGCATGTTGCAGAACTGTAGAGAGAAGGGAAATCTACTTGGGAATTTACAAAAGTCAGGAATACATTTAATATAGCAAGTGTTTTATACAACTGCCATATATCTCCATCCAGTGTGCTTGATACGTCAGAAATAATAAAGATGAACAAAATTTACGAAATGAATTGTATTTTAGAGTCTTCTGTGTAGCTTTACACAAAATAAAGCACAATAAAACTCTTGAGTCATACAAAACCTAAAATGTCCAATTCCCCAAACCGTAATTTAAAACTTCTGTTGTATTTCATGAACAGTTTTATAAGCATTAAATTCTCCCTCAGTTGAGTATTAAAGACAAATATTTAAGATAAATTCATCATCACTGGAAACTGCCAGCTTTATAAACTACTTTGAGAGATATTACAATGCCTAGTTTGTCATCCTAAGATTGCTCTATGATACTTGGATATGCTGCCTCTGCACAACCTATAAATGCTGTTACAAATATCCACTATATAGAAAGTTTACAGAACACACATAGATCATATACAGAGTACATAAGATGCAGACCATATTACTTTATTTGTATTGTGTTGCATTACACCTACTTACACAGTAAGTGCTCTGCAATGCAGAGTATATTAGCTTTGATGGTAGATATGCTGCAAAGCAACTAAAAGGGTTTCAATGATCCTCAAAGTATGTACTCTATATAAAATACTAAAAATATATATGTGGATATATGTACATATATGCACACATATACATACATAAAATGAATGGCAATACATACGACATAACGGTGGGCAGGGTTACAGCATTGATCAGTTCTACCACTAAGAGCATTACTGTTAACACTTAAAATGATGAATGCTCGTTATTTAAGAACCTGGAAATACCTGCAGGAAATAGTTTATTGAGAAGTGTTGCTGCTTACAGTTCTTGTCTCTTTAAGTTATCATGGCCTAAGACATGAATCACACTATCTGATAAACTCATTTTTTTTCCTGTCAGCAGTTTCTGAAATTTCCTGACTAATCTCTTCATTATATCAGCATCCAAATTCCCCAAGATATGTGGTAAAGGAAGCAGAATATTGGAAGAGACTGGAATGATACTACTAGGCTAAACTCTGAGGTTTGGCTTTTTAAATTTTTTTTTAAATATTGCAGGATTGCCAGGATTAAAATCTAACCCCCTTTTAAAAAAAAAAAAAAAAAATCATGCTATGCTTTGATTATACACCCATGTGCACACAGACATATGAATGCACATAAAAATACGTTTTAAGTGTGCTAACCTATGTTTAACCTTAATAAAAATATTAACACACAAATGAGAGAAAATATAAACATACTTAGCTCAAGAAAATAAATACTTCGTAGAAACAAGTGAAGTTACTAGTCTATTTTCTGAAGCACAAAAGTGACTTTCCTCTTAGTCTAAATTAAAAAATTCTTCAAATGTATCATTTTCCTATTTCAACAAGATGTACCTAATAACTGAACTCCCAAACCACTGCAGGAACGTGTGGGCTTTTTATATTTTTTATTTTTAAAATGCAAAACCAAACACCTGCTGCATAATCACTCGGTGCAACTGGATGACTTTTTCTTAACCAAGACTAGAGAAGTCCAGAACTTTCACGTCAAAGAGTTAGGTTCTATTTGCAGACTTTCATCAATTGGGAAGTATAATTGTTATATACTGACCTGAAAAGTGCAGCCATAACGCTTAAAACTACAGGTACTTGGGGCATTAATACATTCTGACAAATGTGCATTCAACTGCAATAGGAAAAAAATGTGAGTTTTGGCAAAAGACGTTTGCATGATAATGCTCAAAACATAAAGGGCACAAGTTATCAGGTTTGTATCGTGTGCCATTTGCAGAACATACAATACACGTGTGTATATTTTCTCCAGTCTGACCTAAAGTGCAAATACTATATTTACACATATGTAAACCACACGCACATGCCAATACAGTATACAGTGTGATACATTTAATATACAGTGAAACTTCTGCTAAAGACTATTTCAATAGGCAAGCCAATTAAAAAAAAACAAAAAAAACCAAAATAACAAAAAAACAACCAAACAAAAAGAACACACTCTACAATTATTTATATGATTTCATTTGACTTTAGCGAATTACTAATCTTTTCTCAACAAGTGATTTTTTTTTTTTTTCTGGAGTTCTGAGCAAGTCTTAAGATCAGTTTCACTGTAGCAAAGCACATTTTTTCTAATCCCAATTTCACGGGGAACCAATTTTTCAAAACATAACATGCAATTCTCCGTGCCTAAATTTAACAGTTAAATTACACAAAAAAGACTAAACAAGTACTGCATGAAACAGACAAAGAGTTTTAGAATAGACAGTTAAGTTTAAAAAAAATGCAGCACACAGGATTAAAACTGATTAGTAAAATGCCTGCATTTTTCACAGATTGAGATTTAAGCCAAGATATTGGAATATTATGAGCACAGACCACTTTTCATTTAAAAATAAACCAATTCACAGAAGCATATGCACATATGCAGACAGCAGCCATTGCAGCACAGAGGGCAGCAGCTGGATGCAAACTGCCTAAAAGTTGGAGCAAAGAGCCATTTTTGGAAAGGCTAGTGCAACAAATACTCTCTCTTCAAAAACCAGGATCTGCAGTTTGTATTTCCCACAAAGCAGACAGGAGCTAGAGTCTAGCTCCTCAGCTGGCATCACTCTCTTGGGTTTCAAAATCTCATTTGAAATTCCCACACCATAAGCCTCACATGACTCAGCTCATCCACCTCCATGGAAAGAAGTGGTAAACCAATTCTGCTTTGAACGTGTCGCTCTGGAACAGACAGGACAGTCTTTAAAATCTGATACCGAGATGCAAGCGGTCACTCATCTCCAATATACACCTATTATGTTCTAAACACTATCTGTAGAAATTCACAGTATAGTTTCAAAAGACATGTGGTTCAGAAAAAGAAAAAAAAAAGACCAAATAAGAAAGAGACATGTGGTATAACAGGCTTTACAAGAATGCCACATTTTCAACTTCTCAAAACTAGAAGTCTGCCAAAGAGTTACGAATTAAACATGAAAAATTGCCTTTTATTCTACAGTAAGATATTCACTTGTTGTACACTACAGAATTTTCTCAAACTGTTAGGCAGGCATTTTCCCATTTTCTGCATTAGAGTCCTTGTCCCTAACCATGCAGCTAAGTAATATATACATTTTCACAGTATCAGAAAAAAATTAAGCAACATACAGCAACAGATGATGCAGGGCAAGATGACTGTGTAAAGTTCTGTTTCTACCAATGGTTTCAGAACCCAATTCTGACTATATGTGTAGCAACCCAGGCTTTAATGGGTCAATTCTTATTAGCACTCAGATATACCTCTTCAAGGTAACTGCTGAAATCAAGATTTAAGAATACGCCTAAGTGCTCCAGAACCAGGATCTCAACTTGGAAGTAAGCACTGATAGAATTGGCTCAGTATACATATTTTCTTTTCTTAGCAGATACTGTACCTATTAAGAGAAATTGAGCTGTCATATATTTTATATATCATTATCCGGAGGGAAAAGACTGCCCCTGTGTTTGGCAGGTAGGTGCCTTATGTGCCTTGTGCACTATGACATGATTAAGAATTTATAAGTGTAACTGAAAAAATAGTACAAATCCAACTCAGGAAGTATCAGTGAAAAGAGAAAAGCTTATCCTGAGATCAGAAACTTAACTATCCTGAAGTGAGGCTTACAGAGTGCTGAACATTTAACAAAGCTCTTCCCCATCCTTGGTGAGTAAGTTCTATTTTTAGGAAAAAACCCCACACATTGACTTTGGCAGATGCTACTTATTTCTTTTAATGTACAAGACAATGGATCTGTTCAAACAGGACAGGGTTTAATTATTTTATTAATCTGGTCTATGTATTACTGCAAGCTTCTATACATTAAGAGAAATTCTTACGTATTGTTGCATTTGGCTGTTGGAATGTTGTACTTATTTTACCCTGTATCTTACACTAATTCTTCAACTGTCAGTTATTATTTTTTCCCAAATTGAAGAGATTTAATCATAATTTAAGCTTTTCCATGGAATGATTCTACACATTTGTATGACTTTTTTTCCCTCTAGTCTTTATTAACTTTTGTCAATGTGCACTAAATTTTAATTCTCTCTTTTTATTTTAATATAAGCTAACTACCCCAAGATGCTGCTCTATTGTGCTCAACAAATGCTTCAAATGAGGGAAGGGCAGGGGGAGAGCTAGTAAAAATGAAAGCAGGAAAGACATGCTCTAATCTTGGGCAAGCCAAGTGTAATAATGACACAAAACTAAGAAATTATTTATTTTTAAATAGTTTTTCAAGAAATGATGAAAAATATTTGAGTGTTATCACACTTAACTGTGTGGTAGAAAAAGCTTTTCCTTAGATCTCACATTTTAATAAGGAAATGGCTTCTGGCAAAATTCTTGCGAGATCTTACTAAAAAAACATTTAATTTTTCAGCACAACACTGGGCATGACTTCTTACCTCGCTCCTCATGAGTGTTTTAACACTACATTTATAAGGACATGAAACCATGACACACGGGCAGTCTGTATCTTCATGTTTCTATAGGGGAAAAAGCAAAAGAAATCACAAATCAACTCTTACTCTGAAATTAAAGAGAGGACTTACCTGCAAATGAAAGCATCCTACAGTAATTAAAAGCCACACACAATATTTTTTTTCCCCCAATGTTTACCCCAATTGTGTAGAGTTACAGAACTGCAATTGCTCAAACATCAGTTTACACTTTGAATAGATGTGTCGATATTCTGAAGCAAAACCAAGAGTTTTCTTGTGTTTTCCCACACAGAGGAAATCTATCTGTTTCCCATTTTATTGTTTTTACTTAGAGCAATGAAACAATAACAAAGGTCAAGTTTTGTTCCCCAAGAATTACTCACAAAAATGGCCATCAAAGAGCAAGCAAAATGATTGCAGATGTCCTTTTTAGTAAGAGTATTCAGTGCATGCAAAAGCTCTTCAGAAGTGTACACTGCCCACTCTCAGAGAATCTGCCTTTCCTATGTACGGATATTCCCCTTCCAATTCTTTTCTAATTTTGATTCCCAATCACCTGGTACTAAGTCTCACTGTTATACACCCAAAGTTCAAAGAAATGCTGAAATATTATCATGATGCTGGGCAGGCATTTTGATCTGAACTAAGATGATGACAGATACTTCACTATAGCTGTTAAACCGTATCACCACAGGGAGGGAAGAAAATAAGGCCCAAGCTAATTGAATTTACATTTCTTAGTTTTTAATCAACAAAATGAAAAATAAAAAAAAAAATTTTCGTTTCATGTCAAGTGACATGTCCCATTCAACTTGAAACAAACTGTTTCATTTCTGGAACTTAAGAAAAGCAAAGGAAACAAAGGTCTAGATTTATAAGCCTGTTAGAAAAGGAAGAACAAATAGCATGCTCTTTTTGCCCAGTAATGATGTAGACAGTCACTGCGACAGAAAGCAAGGAAACCTAAGCTGCTCCTTAGCCAGAGAGCTGGGACAGCCTCCCAAAACATGGGGCTGAGGAGCCAGCTTCAGTCCCATCCCAACAGGACATGGATTCCCAACCAGGAGCAACGCTAACGGACTGACATCTCTCCCCGGAGTAGCCGCTGTCAGGGTGACTGTGGTACTCTGGCCCATAGGGCCATTTCTGCTCAGACTCAAGGACTGGACCTGGGCCCCCTCCTTCTGAACACATCTGTAATCACGTTGGAGAGAGACATCACACGCTACCGCACAGCTTTGGGAGCCTACTGCCCTATAAGCTTCTTTAATGGTTTATCAACTACAAAACTAGAAAAATAATACTCCCTTCTAACATTCATTCGCTAACTTTCACTTAGTCTCTTCTCTAACCTACCCAAATTATCTGGCAAAGGCTATGACACTGACTCTCAGTTCAGGATAAAGAGGCAACATGCAACTTCTCAGTCGTCATTCTGCATCCCAGGGCCTACCCACTGAAACCAAGCGGAGCCTTTTCAATGACTTCAGGATGCACCAGAGTAATCCCATTCCAGTGGCAAAATCCTCTTCCCACCGACCAGCTAAATTCACAGTCGAGCACACAAAGCCAAGTGCAGCATGTAACGCGGGTAACAGCCCGTGCAGGGCACCTGGCACAGGTGAAGGGAACACAGGATATCAATACGGCTTCCCTGAGAAGCCAGTGCCACACTGGGAACATGTCTGGTTCCCGAGTAGTGACAAGGGAGCAAGATGACAATGTCTCGTGGCTGTCCCAGTCAGCTCAGTGGTATTTCGGACTACTGAGTCGAGTCCAGATTGCCTTGGAGGCTCTGCCTGGGACAGCGTGTTTGTGGCCAGGGCAGGAGTGAAGAGCCCAGGCACCAAGTAATGCTGTCCTTCCACATCTGCACCATACTACTGCTGCCCAAGTATCAATTTGATAGGAGAAGCACTTCCAAATAGTTCAGTGGACTATTCACAGAAAAATTTAATAATTCAGAAGCATTTCAGGCTACTAATTTCTGTTTTAACTATGCACCACCTTTATCTGTCAGGAGTTACAGGATGGAAAAAGGTAGCTTTGGGACAAAAAAACCCCCAACTTTTTAGATGGTTTAAACAAAAGAAATTAAGAAGTTAACTCACCTAGTGACAGTGCAGGCAAGACAAATGCCATTTAAAAAAATGTGTACTAACACTGTTAACTTAAGAGTTTGCCTCCAACAACGGGGATTTCCTACCCCATGGGTCATAGGATTCTATGAAGACATGAACCATACATAATCCGGTAAAATTATTTTTGTTTCCATTTGCATACCTTTTTCTCGGTACACTCCCTCTGTCTCCATTTTCAGTTCAAGTCACTGAGGCCTGCTTCAGTCATTATTACATTAGAGAAGATTTTAGGCTAGAGAAGCTAGAGATGAACTCAAGCTCTGGGTGACAAAATTCAAATGAGAAGTCAAAAGGAGCCTTTCATTCAAATGTATAGTCCAATTAAGCTTCTGATTCTCATTACCAAAGTACAATGAGGTAACATTTTATCAGGCCACAACAAATAAAGCCATCTACATTTCGATTATCACTGAACTTTTAAAAATCTAGGCAAAAAAAATTTAAAAATAGCAGCCAATTGTTAATCTTCTAATTCTGGAGCTTTCTGCACCCTTAAAGCAGCATGGAAGCAAAACTGTCCTTTTTCTATGTACTGAAACATTTAAGTCAATGATAACATGAGAACATGTAACACTCCTTGGAAATGCTCTCATTTACAACTGCAGATTTGTTTAGAACTTAAGTGCAGGTGAATAGTGGTACCAACTTTAATACAACTAAAGGAGTGACATCTCAACATAAAACTGCATTTTAACAAACCTCTTTGGTTCTCTGGATAAGCTAATTCTATTACCTCTTAAAGCAACTCAGAATTCCACCAGTTCAGATTTTGGAGAACAATTACTTTATTTACAAACACTCTTTTCCGTACTTCAGAGTAGTATGCCATTCCTGTTTTCAACATGTATGTCTAAAATAGGTTTCACTGTGAATTAAAAATCTGGTAGACTAAAACTTGTTTCAGCTTCTATCTTGAAAGCTACCGCTAGTTCAAAGATTTCATAAATGTCAAATCCATCAGTATCTGATAGAAGAGAGAGCTTTTAAAATAAAACATCGTTCTATGTTCCTCAAGATGTAAGGATGATTTCAGACTCTCAAAAATTTAACTATATTACTCCTATAAAAAGCAACTGCTACAAGGAATCTGTGAGCATGTTGCTTAGATATGGAAATCCAGCTTGTACAATGAGACATATTTAATACTCACTGATTTTGTCTGTTAAAGTCACTACACATTTTTAATGTCACTCTCTGCCTCATGTCAATTCCCAGCCTAACGAGAATTCTGTGAGAACAGCATCCATGATCCAACTAAACACAGCTTCGCTTCTGCATCAGAATGTGCAAGATTAGACACAGTGTAAACAATTTTTTCTATGTATTTTCACATCTCAGCCACCTTATGCTACGTAATGCACAATTATTAAAGTACCAGCCCTTGCAAGTACACACTCAATTGTAAGCTATAACTAAAACAGAGCTTGGTGAGATTCTACCTATGCCTTTTGTAATGACATCTCTGAGCAAAGAATGCTTCTTATCATTGAGAACTTCATTTTCATTTGTGTTCTTGTCTATTGTTTGTCAGGTGAAGTCTCACATCACTCTTATTATACTAAGAGGGTCCAATGTCTGAGAGCTTCAAACTATCGAAATGATGTAAACATTTTTTTTTTTTTTTAAAAAGTTAAAATTACAGCAAGAGAGATTCGGCACAATATGGTTCAATGTGAAATAATGCAAACACAGTCCAGTTACAATTCCATGTGTAAAGTAAGTTTGACTTTCTCAACCTTTGCTCTATACTTCTGACCCACAACATGCTGCTTATCAGACAACCTACCTGTATGCCAAGAACAGCAGTAACTGCCTTGACCTATCATGTACCATTGTCGGTTATGCCAAGACACAATTTGGTTTTAATTGTTTCCTCCTTTCCCCTCCTAACAGATGACACAGTACCCAAGAAGGATTATATAGAAAGATATTGCTTCTCCAGTCAATTGTTATGCTTATACTTTTTCTGCACATTTAATTGCTTTGATGGTGGTTGCATTATTGCTATCAATTTAAGCAAAATAAAAAAGCATAGCAAAAATTACTTTAGTGTCAATATTATGCAGTGGGTCTGAAAATTTTTTAGATGCAGTATCTGAACATCAGAAAAAAGGAAATGTTTCCCAGTCAGTGCAGTAGCTAGTGTTTTTGCAGCAAAGATACATGTTTTGAAAGTGAGCTTATTTTCTTTTTTGACTTACTAAAGCTGGCTGAGAGGCCAAGGCTCTACTGGCAGCTACACAGAAGCACAAGAAGAGTTATTACTCCACATTCATGTATGGAATCTTGTTCTATATACACAAGAAAATACTGCACCTGCAACATAATCATTGGGACTTGGCTTTTACAGTATTTACAGGTTGTCTCCCGGTATCTACAGGTCTTCTCTACATGGTCTGGCAAATCTTTTCTCAGTATTTTTTCTTTGCAATCAGCATGAGGACACGAAAGTTCTTCAAATTGACAATCAGTTTTCAAATGCATCTGAAAGATTAAAAAAAAAAAGTCAAGCCAACTAAGTTTTGTGCATGTCTTGTATCCACATCCAGAGTAAATAACTTCAGAACTAAAGCAAGCAAAGTTATTTTGTGCACCATATTGTGCAAGAGCAAACACTAACAAATCTACTCAGGAACACATTTCTGACTTTACACTCCATTTACCTAGACAGCAGATTTAATTGTACTATAGATGTACACAAGCTACTTTTACACTAAAAGCAATCTACTACAATCCAAAATTCCACACAGGCTATTTAAACAAAAAGGTAAGTGTTCTTTTTCAAGGTACGTTATTCTGCATAAACATAGATGCTGCTTTAAGTTAAGTACCTGAGCTTGCTCATTCAAAACAAGTTTAAGTACCTACACACATCTCACTGCAGACTGCGTGTAGCCATCCCTTCCAACTGTTAAATTACTGGATTACTGCTATGTTATGCCTTCATGAAACAAAGTTACAAATTATTTTGTACAAGTTTGGAGAAGCCAAAGCTTTAACTCCATGCATAAACCACCACTTACATAAGAGGATTAAGACTGGCAAATAAAAAAACCAAACAAAACACCAGACCAAAAAAAGAATTCAAATTTCTCACATTTGTAAAGTATACATTAAGATTTTTCCCAATTTTGGTTCTCCATCTAGTTCTCGTTTGCTTCATGCATTTACATTTCTGAGCTTTAGTGTCACACAGTCACATGACTCTTAACTACAATTCCTTATAGCTCATTGAAAAGCTGAGTTTCAAAACAGTTTCACTCTATTACGACATTTATAAATCAGATTAATCACTCATATAAGTCAAGAAATGGACCGAGGTTTTTATTTGCAAGATTTCTTCTCATTCTTTAACTCAAAAGGAAGCTTATGACTACGTTAGATTACTTACCAGTAATTGACCCAAAGACAGTTGTTCTTTACAGCCCTTGTTTTCATTTCTGCAGTATATTTGAAGGGCAAGTAGTTCTCTCCTGCAACAGTTATCTTTAAATACCTAAAAATCAAAAATAATTTCATTTTAGAAATTTGAAACCAGTCAAGAATATGCCAGTTCAAATAAAGTAGAAGCCATGCAATTTGGCTACAGCAGTGTCATTTAATTCTAGCTTTATGTGCCAGAAATAAAATCCTATCATTCAATTTTTATTGAATGTGCACATCAGAGATTCCTCCACTATGAAATAGCCCAATGAAAGAGACTATTTGGACAGATGGTCTACTACTGTTTCACTTCTACTATAAATACAATAAAAGGAAAGGTACAAGAAAGGGCTACATTTTTTGCTATTTGCTTGTCAATAATAGGCCTACATAATCTAGAACTCCCTACTTTGTTTGGGAAGCTGGTGTATTAGGCACAATACCATAAGACAAAAAAGAGCCAAAGCACAGGAGTTCAGAGAGGAAGGGTTTCACGGAAGTCCCACAATGACTAGACTGGTTAATTAGAACCTACTTGCACTTCAGCGGTAACACAGAATTAAAGACACTTTCTAAGGTCTTAAGACTGGAAAAGGTTTATTATTTTACAGATAAGCAGCTTTAACCATCTCTCCATTTTAATGTTTATAAGCATTTCCAGCATTTTCTCTCTATAATAGAACTGCAAGAAGTTAGAAATAGAGAGCTTGGGATTTGGATTTTTCACCTTTTATGGGTGATACTCCATAAAAGATAAAGAGACAATGTAACTGCACTCTCAAGAAGCCCCATTGCTAACAGCAGGAACCAGGGATGAGGACTGAAGACCCATTACTACTATTTTGAAATCCAAGACAAAGGGATAAAACCTTCTGGTTATTTTGCAATTGCTTTCATGACCATTAAGAAATACCAAAGAACCAAGCCCAACCTGTGACTACCTCTCTGACAAATGGAGTTCTGTGATACCGTACACACTGCAGGGATACTGCAATTACAGAACAGTTCTGCATACTAACATTTAACAACAACAAAGAATTATGACCAGATCTGTCTGCAGTAACTATGAATCTATCCCCAGTATCAGTGAAGAAGGAAACGCTCCAACCGTTCTCATCCAATCTCATCTGACACAGGTCACTGATTTCTGTTTACTCTTCAGATGCACATGAAGTTTAATGGATCAACAAATCTCATTTAAATAATCAATTTGCCAATACTGTAGTATTTTTTTTCCAAAGGAATTCACAGGGTTACTAGGTACAGTTTTGCTGACTGAAGTTAAGGTAAGAAGATTTTTATACAGTTTTTCCAAGACTGTATAAAAGCTCTCCAGGGATTTTGGACATCAACATTCTATGGTAAGAGAAAGGTTTCCAGTTTCATGAAAATCACTGACTTGCAGAGTTAGTCTAACATGTATTTAATATACGCTGCCCTTCTCCTCTTCCTCCTCCTGTTTTAGAGATATTTGAAGTTTCATAACAAATGTACACATTTACGTATATTGGGAGCTAGAAAGTCAGAGTTAAAACAACAAGTAAAATAGGCATTGTGATTATCAGTCTGAGCTCCTGCAGAGCCCACCCATGTCAAAAATGAATTACACTGAGCACTGATCAGAGAACTATTTTGAGTTAAGACAAGGAGAGATTAATGTACCTGTTAAACTCTTCTTGAAAATAGTTACTATTACAAGTATTTATTTAGGCAGGAAAGACTACTAACAGAAAGAATTTACTAAACACTTTAGAAAAATCTCATGTAAAAACTGCATAAACCACGTACTAAGTCAAAAAGAATTTTCTCTACCCTCAACCATTCAAAGGCAACACAAAGGTTTGCTGTGAAAAACAGTGAAGAGGGTATCAATGAAAAAAACTTACCTACACAAAAAGAATCTGATTCTATGACAGTTACCGTAACTCTACACTGTTCTGCTTCCAGTGTGGTTCACAGAACACCACATTGTAAAAACAGATGAGTGAAACAGTAGGCACAGGTCTGGACCCAAATCAGGAGTAAGGTTTGCCTCGGTCTGTCGTCTCTCTTCATCTACAGAAGATGCAGTATTTCTTATCATCCCCCCAGTTGATGGGAGAACAACTGCTATGTGTTGCTGCAGTTCCCAACCATGAAAACAAGATGTGACACCTGGCTGGACCATTAGGGATGAAGCTGACATGTTGTTTTCTACCATGTGGTTAACAGTAAAAATGAGCTGTCTTGCTATATAAAATACATGGGCTAGGTTTTGTAACAAAACTATCTTCCTCAGGTAGCTTATTAGGCTTACGAAATAATTACCATAAAGCAATAACATCTTATGTAAGCCACACAATTCAATTCTCTTGAATAAGAAACAATTTTAAAAATACCTTATCTTTTACTATGCTTTCTTGACACGCGGTGCATTTTGGACTAGAAGAACTGGAGAGAAAAGAAAAGGAGAAAAACTATTTTAACTCATCTGAATTTTTGCAGTACAAAAATTTCCATTTATGAGGCACTTGGTTATGGTTATTCAATATATCTTAAAATAATTAAAAGTGAAAAGTTTATTATAATTAAATAATGTGATGTCATTTCAAAAAATTTGAACACTGAGTTTTCAATGGACAGTATCTGACATTCCCGAGGAAAAAAAGACCACCAGCACCACCACCACGCCTCCAGCCAACTGCTGAGTGGTTTTCTTCAAGGCGGCAAAATTCATTCCCTATTTTACAGGCCGAACCTGATCCACAATTTTCGTCACTTCTCAATCTATCTGTGCAAACCGGCAAAATATTGTCTCTTCAATTATCCAGTCCTCTTTCAAACAACACCTAATTAAACTTTACTTTCTCTGACAGTCAATTATACATCCTTTTAGGGTAAAAAGTATTTATGTCCATCTCCTTCAAGTCTGTTCTGGTTTTAGCAACGGTTACAGATCCTTGCTCTTCCCTTTATCTGAACTATTGCCACATAGCTGTTTTGGTAATCTAATTAGCAAACTTGTGACCTCTTGGACAACAGGTAGGTTGAGGAGCAGAGCAGCCCGTGGACAGACATTGAACTGGAATGTAGGAAACCTGGGTTCCAACAGCTGCCTCTGGCTCTGACCTCCTAGGTGTTGTAGTGTAAATCCCTTTGTTCCTTTTTAGCTCCCCTTCCCCATGTAAAATGGGGATAGTCATACTGATCTCCCTTGTAAAGCACTGAGATCTATGGATGAAAAGCACTAGGTAAAAGCTAGGTAAATTCTTTTGTAAAGCAACTCATTGACAGGCTACATGAGTTGTGGCTGCTAGCAGCAGTGCAAATCAATGTAAGAGGCTGAGTAAGTTCGATGATGTTATATAATCAGTATATTATTTCAAATCGTCTCACTGGCTTCTACTCTTTAAACTGACCATTCTGTGTCTCGTCATATTTCTGAGCATCTTAACTACCTTGCAGCTTCAATATCTGTAATATTTTTCTTAAGTTAAAAAAAAGGGGGGGGGGAACTAATCTACTTGAGGGCATATAGTGTTTAATACAATGTCATGCTTTCCTTGCTTTTACTGAATTCACTCAAGCATCCCGCTTGCTCTTTTAAACTACTGCTGCATACTGAGCAGACATCTTTACTGTGTTAGCTACACTGACTCACAATTCTTTGTCCTCAAATAACCCTGGAACAGAACCTGCTAGCACGTAATCAGTGTGTGCGCGTGGCAGCATATCAACACTAAATGAAAATTTTTTGTGCCAAATACAGAAACAACGTAAACTTATTTTGCTTCCAGTTTTATGGCACACTTTATTTCTCAAAAAAAAAAAAAAAAGGAGCTGTAAATTTAATTTTAATAAAGAATTTGTTTGCAACAAGCACTTAAAATATAGTGAAATAACATGAATGAAAGAGCAAAGTAGTAGATGGTCTTACCCATGTGTCCTTTTCAATAACAGACTGGTGGGAAAGTCAGGAAGGTAAAATTACACATATTCTAGCTGCACTGTAATAAGCACATGTGCATGTCTCACAGCAGGGAAGGAAAACTGCCCAGATTCCAGCAATGCCAGAATTGTTACTGCTTAGATTGTTAAGGATCTGCTCTGTCCATCTGCACACATCCAAGCGTGGCAGGTGTTTGCTTTTCTGCAGTCACTGTTATTAACCATGTAAGAGTCTTCCAAAAACATATATTCAGAAAGAAATAACTGCATTTTTTAAATACAAACTACGCCTCACCTGAAAAATGTGTATTGAAAGAAAAGTTGGTGGGGTTTTTTTGATGTTGTTTTAAATTTGGCATGCTGTAGCACAAAACCTACAGGAGCGGGTTAGTGAGCTACGGACCCTTGTATTTGCCCAGTGCAGAGGTTACTCTTTATCACGAGACAGAGTAATGTAATATCCTCCAATCTCTTCTGCCATGCTGCATGTAGTCTTGATTTATATCTACTGAGATTACAGCATTTCCAAGAGAAATATAAACTAATACTAGAGCCAGGATGGTCACCAAAAATAAGCAGATCACCAAGACCTTTCAAAGTCAAATCCTCTCTCTGTTAATAGTCCAGTGTGCAACATCGAGCAAGCTCGATCTCTTCTATACCTCTGCTCTCCCAGTGGTAAATGGAAGTATTGACTGCTTATTTACCCCAGGAGATTAAAGCTTGCAGAATGGTGTCCAAACATTAGACCAAGTTTTGAAATCACACTGCTGAATACAATCAGTAGCAATGCATCAAAGTTGAGAGGCAAAGAAATATACTTTACTGATGCACAGATATTTCTTAAAAGCTAGATACTCCTTGAATGATCGCATTTTTATTCTTACCTAGACTGGGGAAGATTGCATCTCTCAGCATTCGTTTTATGCCTGTAACATTCACTCATGCACTTCGCACTCTGGCCCAATCATCTCAGTAATAGAGAAGCCAGCCTTCCTGACCCTACCAGAACCCACAAAACATAAAGCCCCAAGACATAGAGCTAGAAGGGTTACAGGGAGAGGAAGCTCCACAAGCAGTTACATTTATCCAAGGGTCCCACAACTCATCTGCAAGGCTGGGTGAACAGCAAGGTTAGGTACTATCACTCTAAGGAGCCGCTGCAGGCTCGCTTCCTTGCACAACCATGATTTACTGAGTGTATTTTACACCAAAACTTAGCAGTCACCTGAAACTTAGAAACTTAGTCAACTTAGCAAAACACCAAATCTTAGCAGTCACCTGAAATAGCTACTCAGTCTAGGCTCCACAGGCAATGAAATTCTTACCTAACACATCACTACACGGGATTAAACCGCTTTAATAACTGTTTCCACAACATTGATGGAAAGTTTAGTTGTCTCATTCTGACCCAGAGTAGAACACAAATGTTTGCACCAGCATATGGGTAACAAATAAGCAAGCAAGCCACAAGCAGAAGGCTGCTTTGAGCCAGGGCATTGGCGTAATGTATTCCTAAAACTACAACAGCGTCCACGCTATTTTCAGCGGTTCACAAGATTTAAATGCATCAACACGTTCTATCACAACAAACAACATACCTTAGCAAGGCATTCATGCAGGTCTCACAGAATCTGTGTCCACATTCAGTCTGTTTAGGATTGCATAAGATGAGGTGACATTTTTCACATTTATATTTATCTTCCACAGCATTTACAAATTTCTCTTTGTAGCCACCTTGCTCCGGAACATAAATCGATGCTGAAGGACTGCGATCAGGATTGGCCCTTTGTTGTACCATTTCTACAGATAAAGGGGGTTCTGTCTTCTTACTGGTGTCCATGCTCTAAGATAGTTTCTGTGAAGCAAAAATGAGAAAACTTCTGAGAAATGAAGACCTCTCTTTCCATTTAAATAAAACAAATACAGCATTTCTGATAGACTACATAAACCCAGAAAGCACTAAAAACAGATGTGTCTCCACACATCATGTGAACATAATACATACATAACTGCCCAAGTATACTAAGCATAGCAATTCTGTAAAATATTCTACGTTTTTCAAAGGCTCTAGAAGGTCAAGAATTAAAATCTATTACTGAAAGCAAAGTGTTAGTTAATGATGGGCATCACTCTAGGAACAAAGAAGAGAATTTGTATTCTTCCCTCTCTCTCTGAAAAATGCCCTTAATATTGAAGTTATACCATTAGAGGAAGCAGCAAGGGGTGTGGTGGAGATGGTGCACTGGTACTGTACCACACACACACCACTACTCACATGCTACTGTAAAAAGCACACAACCATCAGTATCCTATACAGGGTATCTGAAATCTCCGCAGATCCACTACCAACTTCTATCTCATGCAGTAGCAAAGTGTAAGACACACTGCTTTAAGTCTGTTTTAGAACAAGACAACAGGTTTTTACTTATTAAATACTTTCCAACCTTTTTATCACACAATCTCCACGTGAAGAGAAAAGGTGATACAAGTCTAATTGACAGAGGAGAAAGGCATACATAACATGGCCGCTCGACTACTTCACCAGGACTAAGCACAACTGACAGGCAGCTGAGAAAATAATTAATACAGTTGAAGACTGAATTACAGTACCTAGTATCTTGGACGGGGATTCTTCTAGGTCAGCATGCAAAGCATTAGCAGAGCAACAGAGGAAGAATACTCCAGGTTAGATTTTAAAACCTGTTTTCAATAATTTCCTTGCTTATCTTGCAGTCAAACAAGCATAAGTGGTCTTAAAAAACCTCAGCAAATGAAGGAGAAAGCACAGTTGGAGGACACACCACCTATTTACATAAAGAGAAACGCCTGGCTATTTACAAGAGAAAGGCATACTTCAATTCTCCCTCCATGTTAACTGACACGCGAAATATAAACCTGTTCCACTGCTTTACAGCTGCCTCAGCCGCTACAGTTATAATTCAACTTTAAGAAACAGAATGAAGAAATGAGGCCCAATTCAATTCTCAATTACAAAAGTATGTTCACCACTAACACAAAGGGAGTCAAATGCCTCACATCCCAAATACATAAAGCTTCTTGGACATGCTTTTTGTGATCTCTTATCTTCCCTCACTAAGCCCAAAGCAAGTACTTGTAATTGAATGTGTTTTCTTGTAAATCATTTCTGCATCTATACTTTTGGTATAGAATTCTCCATGGAGACTAAACAGAAAGGGAACAAGGAAATTTCTCTCATTTCTGATACCAACTGTTATTTCTAGAAACAAAAGACAAACCATTGCAAGTTATCACTGATAACATTTCATGTCTTTACCAACACCAGCTGAGCAAGGGTAGAGGTGCTGCATGAAGAATCCACACTTCATTGCCCCCTTGCCCCAGGGAACAGCCTCTCTGTATCTCCATCAGAGAGAGCCCAAGGAAACCATCCTCATATCTTGATATATAGACCCAATGATTGGCTCTTACCAAAAAATTAAAAAAAACCCAAACCAAAACAAACAAAACAACAACAACAACAACGCCAAACAAAACAGTAACTGAAAGGGAAATAAATTCTGGTCCATAATTTGAATTAATTCCTGACTATTCCTTGTCTACTCTTCAAAGACTGCAGAGTCTAATGCCTTGGCAGAAGAATATGGGGAAGAAAATAAATTAAAAAAAAAAAATCAGTGCTGAACTGAAAGTAACTTGCACCTCTCATTAATGAAGAAATTCAGATTATTTCAGACCATGGAAGTAAGCAAAGACTGAATTAGAGCTTCAGCAGTAAGCATAAAAAACCCCAAAAGAAACAGATAATGAGGACACTGAAGAGGCAATTCAAGAGATTGTAACCAGCACATAAGAAATGAGATGTGATGCTGACAACAAGAGCGTATGAGAGGCAAGGACGTTAAAAGAAGTGCTGCGAGTGAGAAAGGAAAGCAGTTGACGAAAGTAGTCTCGCTTTAGAGATTGCCAAAGGCATGACTGCCATTGCTGAACATCTGTGGCAGGACAGGGGGAAACCCAGCCATGAGCTCAGGACCTGGCACTTGGTTGCAGTTGTAAGAGGAAAGGAGATAAGCAAGAGAGGGGGGGAAAAAAAAAAGTGCAGCTCCATAAGCATCCGGACTGGTGAAACTTAGCTACCTATGGATTTGCCTCTTGTGTGCAACGGGGGGGGGAAAGCTTCATTTGCAGCTTGTAGTTAAGGAATCTGTAAAAGTTTTCAGTTCTCAGATTTGTAATTTGTAGATACATATTAGTGCGTCTTTTCCCTCTGTAACTGCACATTCAATACCTCTACCATTCTGTCAACTCTTGAAGTCAAAAGCCAACTTAAGCACATTGACTTGTAAGAACAACACAGGGAATGTGATTTTACTTAAAATGCCAGAGCAAAACAAGGCATGGCCTGATTCTGACCCAGAGAAGAAATTCAGAAAGGAAGGCACTAAAAAAAAAGCTGAGGGGAGAACTGGCAAGTTGAGAGAGCACAAAGCTCCTGAACTTGTAAGTGATACATCAAAACTACTGCATGTCTCCTTCTCCATTAAGTTTCTTCCAAACAAAAAGAAGCTAAAGATGATTAGAGATGTGAAATGTTCCAATAGCACGATTTCTTCATGAAAACTGAATAACTAGTCACAAGGAGGCAGTCAGGGGTAAGAAGGAGAACATTCAAGATTTAACTGAGAAAGAGTACCGAATGCCAAATGAGCAGCAGGTGAGAGTTTCATAGATACACGAAACTGCTCAGGGGCTGGACTGTCAGCTGTCAAGAGAGATTTCATACCAAAATAAACTGCACAGCGCTCCACAGGACTCCACTTTTGGAATTGACTTATTAGCTATCTTGTCACAGAAAACAACCAGAAAGCACACTGATAAATAAAATTTACTATGCAGTATGCCTAACAGTCAGATTTGTGTGCCTCAGGTTTTATGTTTCTGCTTTATGAAGAAGTATGTCAGATCAGAAAAGCTAAGCAAGTGCAGCACCAGAGCAGCCAGCTTGGTGAGGAATTCTCTTCCACAATACTCTGAACAGCGAGAATTTTCTTATGCAGCAAACCCAGGAAGCCATTCATGAAGTACTGCAATAAAATACAACAGAGAACTGAGCTTAAAAGAACACCAAAACCTCTTTTCTTATAACTAGAGGTGCATTTAACAAGGGGGTGGGAAAACATGATGTCTATCAAACTACTGAGGGCACTGAGCTATGCCCTCCCACATACGAGTCATGTGCGCCTACACCTGTATATGGGATCAGTGGTGAACGCAAGTGTAGATAACACAAACATTTCAGCTGCCACCCTTTTGCAAACAGCTTTCTATTATGGTTTACATACCACTACAGGGTGACATCTGCAATGTCGTCTCTTCCTTTTCAGGAACCTTTAGCAGCAGGACTCAGATTATAACCTCACAATCATGTTTCCAACTGCCAACAAGAAGCAATTTTGAAGTCACACCTCAGTAAGATACTATGTGCTTACAGCAGTGAAGATAACACACTTCCAGAGAGCAAGGAGAGGAGTCTGGCTAGAACATTCAAGATGGCTAGTTCTGGTGGGGGCCTCCCATTCCTAAAGGCATGGCAAGCTGCCATCAAGTGAAAGACTCTGGTTCTTGTTCAGCAAGCTAAATCTTAACTCCTAATTCACCTCTAGCTATTTCTTAAGCTCCAGTTCCTTATCCCTGGGAAAAATCATCGCAATAAAAGAATATGACTTTTAGGTGTCTTAAAACCGTTAAATCTTGGACAATCACCTTTAGGACAGACAAGTACATAAAAAGAGGCAAAGTCACCGAGGTCGGTTCTGTCCACTGTTGATGCTTTCAGCCACCTCTCCTGCAGCCAGCAAATGCTGTTCAGCAGAGTAACAGAAGTGGAGACTGTTCTGGTCATCAGACGGGTGACAATGCTTGCTCCAGTCTGTCAGCTCTACTGAGCTCCATTTTTGTCACTATTCTTGTTCAATACAAGTGGCACTCGAGTATCTGAGGCTGGACCTCAGTTAGTATTTCACACTGTATTTACTGTAATAAACGTCAGAACAACTTGTTGTCACGTAACTCATACTAACATTAGAACAGAGGGTTAGAAACTGGAAGCAAAAGTGAATTTACTGACAAAGATGTTCCAAGAATTAGAAAGCATGGGAGTTCCCAAACAAAAAGCATTTTGCTTTCTCGTTTAAGCAAGGATGCTGTTCTCACTGAAATAGGGCAAACATCCTAGAAGTCTCCATTAGCATGCTGTATTATACCACTTATATTTTTTTATTTGCTCTTTGGGAATAAAGCCGATTTGCAACATAGAAATACAATAAAGTTTCTCTAAAAATTGAAAATAAATTTGCATTAAAAAACCAGGAAAAAATTAATTAACTCCTATGTAATCTAAAACACCCCCCCAAAAAGAATTCATTGCAAAAAGGACCACAGGATTTGGCACCTAGCAAGTTCTGCATGAAAACAGTTTCAATATATTGACAATACAAAGCAACTAGGCTTTTGCCAAAGTTTTAAAATTCATAAAAGTCAAGAAATTATTTTAAATAAATGTTTTAGTTACACTACCAGAGAAGAGGGTAACAGAAGACACAATATAATTTGGTTATTACTTCGGACAGAAAGGCTTTTCTATCAAATTACAATTTGCGCTAAGAACAGAAGTTACTCAAATGGAACAGCAGCGTATCTAAATTAAGCTCTGAAAAAGAAATCTGAAGTTGGACAGGGAGCTAAAGATCACAGCAGAAAAGTGACCAATGAGATGATTCAACTGTTCCTCTTCAAAAAACAGTTTATATATTCTTATCTAAAAAGCATCAAACCACACAAACTTCAGTGTCTCATCCTAACTAGGTCATTTTTTTGGTA